AAAACATTTGAACTTTTGCTTGAATATCTTATATTTTGAAAAACAGTATAAACTGTACAGTCTAAATTTAGTTTGCACGGTCTAAATTTAGTTTGCACGAAAGTTGTAAACAACACCATATAAGGATAGACATTGCATATTTGGAAAAACGAACGTTAGGGTTAGGGTTAGGGTATATAAAAATATATATATATATTTAAATATATATTCAAAATAAATATTAAATATATATTCAGATATTAAATATTATATATATATATATATATATATATATTATAACATATAATATATATATATATATATATATATATATATATATATATATTATATGTTATAAAGCATCGGTGCACTGTGCTGATGAGCCCCTCATCATCGGTGCACTGTGCTGATGAGCCCCAAAAAGGGCGAAACAGCTGTCCACAGTTGCCGTTGTTTGAGCTTTCCTTGAAGGGCGCTACAATGTCTTTACTTATGTGCTTTATCGCCGTTTTTAAACTGTGAAATGCAGTGAGCGTGCGCATAAAGGCTTAGGCATAATGTGTAGTATATAAAGTTCTGTAGTGTCCCACATCCACCACACTGTTTTCTATAGTATATATATTCTTGGTATGTGGAAGCTCATCATCGGTGCACTGTGCTGATGAGCCCCAAAAAGGGCGAAACAGCTGTCCACAGTTGCCGTTGTTTGAGCTTTCCTTGAAGGGCGCTACAATGTCTTTACTTATGTGCTTTATCGCCGTTTTTAAACTGTGAAATGCAGTGAGCGTGCGCATAAAGGCTTAGGCATAATGTGTATATATATATATATATATATATATATATATATATATATATATATATATATATATATATATATATATATATATATATATATATATATGTATATTAAATATATATATTAAATATATATTCAGATATTCAAATTCATTAGTCATCGATGCAGGCTCTCAATTCAGCTTGAGAGCCTCTTCGCAGGCTACTAATTCACTTGAGCAAGTGATTTGTCCGCTCAGTGAATTAATACAATTAATTTCGGAGCCGCATTTTTTATAATTGCGATTGAGAATTTTGTTTACTGTTTTCCAAGCTTACTTAGGATAATTTTTGACACATACAAATTGTCTTTTATAATAAGCTGTTTTTGCTTCTCGTAATTCTTGAGTTACACTATTTCTGGACATTTTATATGCGCTCCAGTAATATTCCCAGTTATTCTTTATAGCAAGGAGTTTGATACGATCTCGCTCACGCATTTGTAGTCGTTAACTATATTGGTGAGCCAAGGTATACATTAGACTTATTTTATCATTAGCATGTTTATCCAAAACTATTAGAAAGTGTTTTCCATGTTTCCCAAATCTTGTCAACACAG